TCATGTGTTGATGTTATGGTTCTTACTTAGTCAATCTTTCCTTCACGTGCATCTGTAACACTAGTTCACTTCTTCCTTTCGTCAAGTTCAAGCATGTGTTGATGTTCCGGGTCTTACTTAGTCAATCTTTCCTTCATGTGCATGTGCTCCGTTACTTCACTTCTTCCGTTTGTCGAGTTCAAACATATGTTGATGTTCCGGTTCTTACTTAGTCAACCTTTCCTTCATGTGCGTGTGTTCACTTCTTCCGTTTGTCAAGTTCAATCATGTGTTGATGTTCCGGTTCTTACTTACTCAATCTGTCCTTCATATGCATGTCTAACACTTCTTCCTTTTGTCAAGTTCAAGCATGTGTTGATGTTCCGGTTCTTACTTGGTCAATCTGTCCTTCATGTGCATGTGCTCCGTTAGTTCACTTTTTCGGTTTGTCAAGTTCAATCATGTGTTGATGCTCCGGTTCTTACTTAGTCAATCTTTCCTTCATGTGCATGTGTAACACAAATTCACTTCTTCCTTTTGTCAAGTACAGGTATGTGTTGATGTTCCGGATCTTACTTGGCCAACCTCTCCTTCGTATGCATATGTTCCACTAAGCTCACTTCTTCCTTTTTGTCAAGATCAAGCATGTGTTGATGTTCCGGTTCTTACTTAGTCAACCTTTCCTTCACATGCATATGTTCCACTAGTGCACTTCTTCCTTTTGTCGAGTTCAAACATGTGTTTATGTTCCGGTTCTTACTTAGTCAACCTTTCCTTCATGTGCATGTGCTCCATTAGTTCACTTCTTTCGTTTGTCAAGTTCAATCATCTGTTGATGTTCCGATTCTTACTTAGTCAATCTTTGCTTCATGTGCATGTGTTCCACAAGTTCACTTCTTCCTTTTCTCGAGTTCAATCATGTGTTGATGTTCCGGTTCTTACTTAGTCAATCTTTCCTTCATGTGCATGTGCAACACTAGTTCACTTCTTCCTGTTGTCAAGTTCAAGCATGTGTTGATGTTCCGGTTCTTACTTAGTCAATCTTTCCTTCATGTGCATGTGTAACACAAGTTCACCTTTTCCTTTTGTCAAGTTCAAACATGTGTTGATGTTCCAGTTCTTACTTAGTCAATCTTTCCTTCATGTGCATGTGCTCCGTTAGTTCACTTCTTCCGTTTGTCGAGTTCAAACATCTGTTGATGTTCCGGTGCTTACTTAGTCAACCTTTCCTTTATGTGCATATGCTCCGTTAGTTCACTTCTTCCGTTTGTCAAGTTCAATCATGTGTTGATGCTCCAGTTCTTACTTAGTAAATCTTTCCTTCATGTGCATGTGTAACACTAGTTCACTTCTTCCGTTTGTCAAGTTCAATCATGTATTGATGTTCCGGTTCTTATTTGGTCAATCTTTCCTTCATGTGCATGTGTAACACTAGTTCACTTCTTCCTTTTGTCAAGTTCAAGCATGTGTTGATGTT